GTGTGTGTGTGTGTGTGTGACTGCTGTAGAACCAGTTCTGACATTAGAGGGGAGGAGTGATTTAATAGCTGGCACTGATTTCACAACCCTTACAAGGTCCCAGACAGAATAACAGACAGTCAGTGAGGTGGATCAGTGAATATCTTCAGTTCGTCTACAGTGAGTTGCATTAAGATGGATCAGGGAGATAATTCACTGACATCGATGTGATCACAGCAGGTCTGAGACCTTTGCAGTCACCTTGACCCACAACCCTCCTGCTGTGATCTTTAAAAAAAATAAATCACATGGGACTATTTAGAGAGAAGCGGGTTGTAACTCGCACGCACACCGAGCAGCGACTTTTCAAACCGATCACGTTACTGAGGAGCTGCAGTGAAGCACGGTCAGTGCGTGCGAAGCTGTGCTAGCAGCCTCAAACAGCAGCCCTGCGGTGCACCCTGCACACGCATCGGTTCATAGTGAACCACGCAGAGATCACCCGATCACGCATGTTCGTTAACACAGCTCCGATCGACTGAGGGCGAGTGTTCGGTTTCTGACGCCACCAACGCCAACGCAGCAGCATTCACCCAAAACCAGCAGCCACGAAGGCAAGCCTGCTGTCGCCCCTCGAGTCCAAATGATAAAAACAACATGGCCACCATCCAGCTGTGAACGTTAGTGACGGAGGTACAACCTTCACCGTGCTCCCATGAGCTGCTCTCCCGTGTCGGCTGCAGGTCTCCATCGTCGCCACAGCTCCCTGCTTGTTTATTCCTGCTGCGGCAGCGGCCATTCTTGGACGACAGCGCAGAGGACCGAGCAGGGTCGAGAGCACAATCCCGCAAAGACTTCCGGTTTCGTTCTTTAAGCCCTTTTACCGTACAATACCGTTCTTTCACTCAGTGTATACAGCAACAGTGCAGTTTAATTCACTGTATGTCACAATTTGTAATATGATGGGATAACATCAATAGCGTCACAACTGAAACTTAGCGAGAAACTGCGATTGTGGCCACTATCTTCTTCTATTACGCATGCGCAATGCAAACTTGTGTCGACGCTGATAGGAAGCAAAACGTAAACATACGCAAAAGAACCTGCCTGTGTTCAGACACACAATAAACATGAATATATACATACAATCAATGTGTATAATGAATATGTCAATGAATCTGCTGTAATTATTTGTAATTAATTGTCATAGAAATAAGGGAGCAATTACTCATCTAAACATGTCTAAAGAATCGCAAAGAGCTGATTAATTTTTAAATTGAAGGGCTGGTATATTCAATAATTAAACAAATAATAGCAAATTAATTGAATACGTTACCATAAAGAGTAAAAAAAGATAATAGTGTCAACTTCACCATCACGAACTATAAGTTCCGCAATGCAGCGCGGTTGGTCGTATGGTGATGACGTATTCTTCGCGCGTCTCCCCTGCCTGGATCGAGACATCAGCAGCAGAGCTCATCGCCAGGCTCACGGTTGGTTTGTATATATATTCTCACTGAAAATAACTTTCACTGTGTGATCAAAATGTGTTTCCGGTCTGATCCTCATGTAGTTGATAATATCTGTTGAGGAGGGTGAGATATATCCTCGCCATGTTTTCATTCTGGGCGCCCAGCTCTCTGTCCTCAACATTAAACCTGTGTGTTGCTCGTCCTGCTGGACATCCACGCGTCCTCTGCTCTCAGGCATCCACCGCTAATGTCTCAACCACCGCAGCAGACTGTGCCCTCCGCCCCAGACTCCCCGGCCCTGGTGGTCACCTCCAACGTGCAGAAATATGCCATCAAGAAGAAGAAGGTGCTGAGTGCTGAGGACACGGAGCTGTTTGAGCTGACCCAGGCTGCAGGCATCACTGTCGACCAGGAGGTCTTCAAGTAAGCGTGCTGAGGACCACGAGGAAGCTAAACATGGTGGATGTGGAGGAATAAACAGAAGGACAGGGCTGTTTGTCTGTTTCTCATGCTCCTCTTCATCTTCTCGTCCTCACAGGTTCATAGTGGACCTGTTGAAAATGAACGTGGCTCCTCAAGCAGTCTTCCAGACTCTGAAGGCCATGTGTGCGGGTCAGAGAGTGGCCGACAGCTGCGGCGGAGAGTCCGCTTCAGCTCCCTCCCACTCCACCATTACCACAGCACCCACAGAGGCCAGAGGTGAGTGTGTGTGTGGAGGGCCGATAGGAGTGTGTGAGCAGTGGCAATCAAATGACTGTATCGCAGGTAGAAAGCCAGAAGGTGGCTGATGAGATTTCCGCTCAGGTTGAAGCAGGATTATTATCATTATTCACATTCACTGGTCATTTTGTGCACTGACATATCAAATACTGCATTCATGTGTCATTGTACTGGCCTGTTTTATATACAGTCTATGGTACTAACACTATTTACTAGTGGCAGATTGACAAAAAATGAAAGATTACAGAGCTAACTTCATTTAAATTCAACACTGCTGAAAGGGTGTGAGTCCTGGTTATAATTGAATGTGTGAACACATTCCCAGTCAGAATAACATGAGGTTTTCCTGTTCTTTCCATTTTGCTCACACTACCTGATCACATTCAAAAAGCTTGTGGCCAAAATAACTCACTATCTATTAAAGTGCATTTCATAGATATGAAATGTCAGTGAATGTGCAAAAATAATTACTATGACTGTTGTGTTGAATCTTAGTTTACTGTGAATAAATTGTAGTGTACAGCCAAAACGACGGCTGCTTTCTTTTTAAAGGTTCAGTGTGTAGAATTTAGTGACATCTAGAGGTGAAGTTGCATGTTGCAGCTGAATGCTCCTCACCTCACCCTACTCTTCCAAACATGACAGAGAACCTGTGGGAGCTTCAGTTGTGATTTTAAAAACTCAAAAGATGTTTAGTTTGTCCAGTTTGAGCTACTGTAAAAAAAAACATGGGGTCCTCCATAGAGAAGACCTGCTCCTGATGTAAAAAGTATTTAAATATAAAGTAAAGAAAACAACAGTTTGTGCAATTTAGATGAAACACGCTTGTGAAAACATCTTTCAAATTCAATTACATGTTGGAAACTGAACATTTGCATTTCGACACTGAGCACCACAAAATTATTTACACTTCTCTTAATTTGGTAAAATCTTTCTTTACACTGCTGCATGAGATTTACTCAGCCCCTGCTGTCTCTTCTCTGTCTCTGAGTGTCACGCTTGTCCCCCCCCTCCCGCACACACAAACAGTGACATCGGACACATTAGTACAACTCAGACTGGGTGAATACAACATCACTTGGTCTTTGCAAACACAAATTTCATTCTACATTGCATGTAGAGCGGCGGGGGGGGGGGGGGGGGGGATCTGATCACAAGTTATAGGACACATTATAATACCAGATGTAGTTAACACTGATTTGTGCTTGGATCTCTCTGGACACATGTTAATAACAGGTCTGAGGCCTTACAAGTTCCAGATATGTGATGATTTAAAGTAACATTAAGCTTCCAACTTTCAGAATGTTTTAATGTGTTTTTTATTTGTTCTTCCTAACTTCACCTTTCAGTTTACTGTGTTATTCTTCCTGTGCGCTTTGCTTCTCCCGTCCCTCTTCAGGCATTTGAAAGGTTCACATTCCTCCACTGAAGTACTGTACGTACTTTAGCAGGAGAGGTTGTCGTCCTTCACTCTGGGTCGCCTAACCCCCCCCCCCCAATAACTAAAATTCCCTCTTCACTTCACCCCATAATGAGCTTTTGCACTTGAATGGCGGTGAACTGAAGACCAAGGTTATGCAGTAGACAGTCTGATAAGCTGATCATCACTGTGTACACATCACTTTGCTTTCTGATTTTCTTTTCATCCCCCATGAATTCTGTTTTTGTTTCTGTCCCTCTTGTTTCCTGAAGAAGAGGACACTTTGGTCTCTGGAAAGAGCCCTAAGCTTCCTGCCGCTCCCCCCTCAGCGTCTGGCCTCAGAGCCACAAGGGTCAACACTAAGATTGTGGTCTACGGCCCCCAAGACTCTAGCTCTTCTCACTCTCAAGGTCCCCTCTGGTGCACTGTGTCCCTCACCTTCGTCTGTCTGCTTGCTTGCCATTTTTCCTTTCTTATTTATAAATGTAGGGGTTATGTTTTATGTTTTTTTTGCTTGTGCCAAAACTTTATTCTGTGCTTTGCCTGCTTTCCCCATTTCATGACTATGCAGAGTGGAAAATGTGCATGCATGAGTGTGGACTGACAGAGCCTGAACATTTTCATTGCATCTTTCCTTATTTTTTAATTTTAAAAGTGACTCGAAAGTTGAAAAGAAATCCTACAGTACCAGTTAATGGTTGGAACTCGGTCAGAACCTTTTATTTCTGGGACTATGAATTGATTGACAAATTTGAAATTGTGTCTCTCTGCATGGATGTCGAGGATTTCGCCTCACCAACAGAACAGACATTTTTTGTGTTCACCTCATATTTCACAATGATTGAGGAAAATGTAATTCAACTGATTTTCAGTAAAAGTTGGACTTTGACCATATGTTGGATTTAATAACCCCCTGGCGATAAATGATTAATGATCTTGACATGGTGAATATAAATTTCAGAAAAGTTTTTTGATTCAATTCCTCTGAGCTTTAGCACATTTGGATGTGCATGTTGGAGATATATTCCCCTTTTAACACTCTGCTTAAATTGCCAGGGTTCACAATTAATACACTTAGCTGCTAATGTTTCTTTGGCAACTGTGTTTCTTTCAGTGTCAGTTTTTGTTCAAAGGATTTGTCTGTCTGTGAGTGAAGAAGATAAATAGCAAAAAGTCTTCACACAGGGAAACTAGAAGAACATAAAGGAAACGAGAGATTTCACTCGAGACACATCATCTAAAGTTTTATGATTATGTCTTTACTGAGCTGAACAAGCATTTTTGAATCAAAACATATTTCTTTACCCCAGATATGAAGTTGGAAAATTCTTAAAGATTTCCCATTCAGTCTGGTTGTTGCTGTTTGGTAAAATAGTTAATATTTTTACCTGCTTGACATTACAAATTGAAAGTAGATAGATGTAGACCCACGTTAATGCTCCTCAGACTCAGCCATCACAGTTCATAATTGCTAAAAGCACTTTCTAGTCATGTCATGGTTCTTGCTATGTTCATGTGTGCAGTATAGATGTGTAGTTGCAGTTAAGAGAAGGTAAAGAAGCCGTAACCATTTTCTCTGACATGTATGTGATATACATATTTTCCCATATGTCTTCCTCGTCATCGTCCTTTGCATTTTTCAACGTGTTTGCTTGGAATAAACATCAGGCTGCAGTCAGAACAACTCCTCCTCCCACTAATGTTTCATCACATCATATGTTTTCTTCCTGTCAGTAGTGCGCAGTAAAGCCGGAGCGAGCCACAGTGAGAAGAGCAGAGAGGCCTCCACCCAGAGAGTGCAGCGGCAGCCCAGCGCCACCAGAGGGCAGAAGACCAAGAGCTCCGGCAGCAGCAGTTCCTCCTCTCAGATAAATTCAACATAAGACTCAGGTCCACGTGAGATCATTTGTAAATATGTTCTTTTCTTTGTGTTTAACTTATCTTTATTTTTTACTGTGTGACCTGTTTAAAGGGTTGGTTTACCTCAACCACAGAAAAGCTGGTTTATTTGCCTCTGCCATAATTCAATGGAGCTGAACAGAATTGTAAGAAATTTAAGAAATTAAAACATTTTTATTACATTTGATTACTCTGGTTAATCCACAAATCTCTGTATGAACATTTATTTTTCTGGTTCGACATAGTTCCAATGAAAACTCTTCACAGTGAGGTCTGTGAACAGCCACAGACATCTGAAAACCTTGAAAAATGTTAAATGACTTGAGTGTTAAATGAGAAAACATGGAACATTTTGGGTAAACTCACCCTTTAAAATTCTAACATAATAAGAAATAAAGTCCTGAGTGTCTCTCACTCATTCTTATTCTGGCTGGTGCTACTGTAAGTGAGTCGAGCCTTTTGTCGCCTTGTAGCATTGAACAGACTTAAAGAAAGAAAGACATTTGTTTTACAGAAAAATCTTAATGTTGCTATTCAATGTGCAGCTTTTTATGAAATGATTAATCTTTAATAAATCCAATAACTGGTAAACCTACTTAATGTCTCTTTTTTAACATTATTTGTTGTGATGCATCAATCCTGCTTTTGTACCTGATAATTTCAATAACTCAACAGAGTTTTAAGGAAAATATAGCTTTGATTCATAGCGGCTGATGTGACAGTGTGGAAGCAATGACATTACAACAGCTTTCATAGTGAGTTTCAGCTCATTGTTTATCCGTCGCGACCACAACATCACTATTTTACTTCACTCTGCTCTCATTGCTTTGTTTTCTGCAGCTGTTTTCAGAGACATAGCTGCAGAAAGCCATTTCTAGGCCAACCAACTGGTTTGTTGTGGGTTTCTTTAGCAGTTCATCCTGCTGAATATATGATTTTCTATTATTCTATGACTTTTAATCCAAAAAGAAAGATGGGGCTTCGCTCTCTCTTTGCTATTTGGTCAACAGTTACCGACACAGATCTCAGTGCAGCGGTAGTGTCTCTCCTCCTTGACGCTGGATGAGTGCAGCTGTTATATCTTTCTCTTCTTGAATGGCTGATAATATGCTCTGAACCTTGAGGGAGGCAGGTGACTCTGTGATGGAGATGAGACACAGATTCAAGAATGCTCACTGCTATTGATTTTACTCTTAATGTCACCATCGTATTGATCTTTTCTTTTCTTTTCTTACCCGTGATGGTGAGAAGTGTAGTAGATAAACCAACCGAGCACATTTAGTCGAAACTATACTCACAAATGCTCTGAAACAGCCTCAGTTCTTCACGTTGACTGCATCACATGATTTCTGCAGATGTGTCATGCTGCCAATCTCCTGTTTCCCCACATGCCAGAGATCCTCCACTGGATTCACATCTGGTGACTGTGGAGGTCACTGACGCACACTGTGATGTTCATAAAACCAGGTCGAGGCTTCTGCTTTGAGACATGCAGCATTACCCTGCAGGAAGTAAAGTCATAAAGGGATGAACATGTTCAGCAACAATACTCAGATTTTCATGCTTGTGCGTCTGAATTGTTTCACTTCTATCACATGGGGGCAGTAGAAGCACACTGTAATTAAGGTTTGTCGCCTAGTGCGCCCAAGTCTCTTTTTCTCAACCTTTCCAGAAAGCTGCTGGGTATCGTCAGTGAAAGTTAATCTCAAAGGAATGCGTTTTGTATATGTCGACTTGGTGCATTTTAGACAAAGCATCCACTCATGCACAGACACACTATACCTCAGAGGTGATGGTGAGACAGACAGAGGGGATACTGTGTGTGTGTCTGTGTGTGTGTGTGTGTGAGGCAGGCTGCAGGGCTTTATGTAGCTGCAGGTCTTTTATGTGGCCGTTTGTCCTGTTTATATGTTCCTGCCTCTCCTCTGCGCTCTGCATTGATGGCAGCGTGCCTGTAATTGATGGCACCATATTGCTGTGGTGTAGCAGGTTTAATGGGGCTTGACAGAGCAAGGGAAAGCAGCATGCAACCAGGGAGGGAACTTAACCCCTTCACACACCACCCCACCCTCCATCCGTGTCCCTTCCCCGTTCTCCACCGCCGCCCTCGCCTGTTTTTCTGGCCTCGGCGCCCTCCCCCTGCACATCACTGCGAGCAAACCCAAACGAGAATACAAATGGGCCTACTGTGATTAGCTTGTTTACGATTCCTACTGTTATCAGTGGTCATGGTGATGGCATTTTGGTTCATGATCAAGGAAGCTCAGACACCCCTCTGACTCCACTTCCGAAAATAAATACTCGCCAGCTGTTGGTGCTCTCCACTGTTTTGCTCGGAGGAACCTAAATGTGTTTGACAAAGGTAAACGGCTGGGAATTTATTCCTTCAAACCTGCCGCCAGACCGTAGTTCCAGATGCGGCCTACAGGGGCCAGTGTGGATCCGAGCTACCGATGCGGCCTTCCACTACCTTGGATTTCCATAAGCATCTGGTCCAGCTTTTTGGATGTGTTTATTTTCTTATGAGGGAATTTCATAGCCAGTCTCTTCTATTAAATAGGGAGCGTTATCCTTCACTCAGATGCAGCGCACACGTGAATTTGTGCTTGCGCATGGACACACTATATGCGCCATTAATCAATAGAGACGATGAAATGATGCTATTGTGTGCGAGGCAGGGCGAACAGCACGTTGAAGAATGAGCTAGTCAGAGCTGTTGGCAAATCATTAAATGTAAGGTGTTGGTCTAAACCAAGTTCTCACACTCTTTCTGCACAAGCTGTTCCCAGGTGACAAAAAACTGGGGAGAGACACTATTTTAAGAGCCGGTATCACACCTCTCTTTCTAAACCCCCCCCCCCCCACTCACTTATATTCTCTCCTGAATTTCTTTCTCTGTGTGAGCACTCGGCTGGGGTGTGGAGGAATATCATCCACTTTTCCTTCTCTTCTCTCTGTCATCCCCCTTTCTCCCAGGTATTATCCCATCCTGTGAACTCTTGGTCCACATTTCTCTCTAAATTTATGGGCCACTTTCGCCTCACTTGTTGTCTCTCTACATTCACTCCCTGCTCTAACCCCGTCACTCTCCATCATCACACACACCGTCCTCCTCCTCCTCCTCCCCTACGCTCCTCGCCATCACCCTCCTTGCCAGGCTCGCTGCAGATTGGCTATTTCCTGCACGCCGCCCAGCAGAGCCCTTATCAGAGGTAGAGTGCTGATTGTTGGTCTGTCTCTCAGGCTGACTGACAGTCCGGGCTGCGCTGCTGAAATGCCTGATTTGGTCAATGTTTGTCTGTGGGGCCTTATCTCCACACCTTATATTAACTGCCTTGACAGTATGTGCAGGCAGTCTCTCTCCATCTTGTTGCACCCCCACCGCCCCCTCCTCATCCCCTCCACCTCCCTCCACTCACTGTCTCTATCTCCATTGACTCTCCGCTACACGCTATAGTCTTTCAGCCAAACATTTTCTTGCTGATCCTCCTCTTCCATCATTCCTCCCTCGCTCACAGCTGGATCAGCATCTTAAGCACCATGAATGCCACTTCATTATTATTTCTTATTTCTTCAAAAAGCAATTATGGCTACATAATGTTAGTTAGTGATATATTGTGTGTAACCATGCACATGCATGTTTATGGTTTCATCCAAATATTCACCTCTGACATTTCTGCAGCAAATTGAATACAATGGACACTAATTTGAAACGAATAAAGTTTGAATTCACCAGAAACAGTGACTCTGTTAGAAGGATCATCCAAAGGCCTCACTGTAAACTGCTTTAATTGGAACAACTCAGAAGAGAGTCTTCAGTTGAGAAGTTCTCAATGGATTTTTGAGAGTTTTAATGCTTTGACCTGACAATATATACACAGGTCTTGTTTTGAAAACTCTCACAGAGTCTAATAATGTTTTAACTGCTTAAATCATTCATATTTTCCTTCTTCAGTTGTGTGTTTCAAATAGTAGTTTTATGTAAATTAAATAATTCTAAGCGCTTATTAACACAACACAACTAACCTTACTAACACTAAAACTAGTAGCTCTGTCTCTTTGTTTCCTGCAGTTAGAGTAATCACAGGAGGTACTTCTCTCCAGGAAACTTGCTAAGGACTTATTCGCAATTTAAGCTATGCTGAATAAGTAAGAGATGCTGATACAATAAAAACTCCGATTGAGCTGAAGGCTCTGAAAAATATAGTAAGTGGACCTTCAGTTGCACATGAGGCCTTCCTTTTCTGTTTAAAAGGAAAAAAACAACTCAACATGCTCAAATATTATACCCTTCATATTGTTATTTATTTATGGCCAAAATGTTGTGTCTAAAAAAAGTTGAATCTGTCTGGAAAATAAATAGAAAATATGAAAATCTTTGTGTAGATTTTGGTCTCAAATTCCTAGAAAACATACCAAGGACCTGACCTCAGTGTCCTCAGTTATAGCTGCTGCTCTCAGAAGGTAATCTCAGTGAAGGACATCTTGAATAAATGAAACTAAATTACAAGACACCATGCATAAAAAAGTACTGCTGAAGATAGGCCATAACTTGTTCTGTAATAACATAACTGTGCCTTTAAGGCCTCACTTGCGAAGCTGCGTCATTGTGGTAAACAGAAATACATATACAAATACAAATACATTTGATTTGTTTTCTTAATCTAAAAAATCACAGTGAAAGAACAAAAACAAAATAGAATTTTCCTAATAATGTTAAGGTCACCTGCATTGACCAGCACTTGATGAGAAGACTTTATTTATTTGAGAGGACTTGTAACTTAAAAAAGAAAGAGTCTGGTAATTTTCTAAATGTTGCTTATTGTCAACAAATCTCACAAAAAGACCAACAATGAATGAGTGAAACTGACAAGTATTGTCAGTGTATCCAAAGCAACATGAAATTGTATTGCTCTGTGCCACAGAGCTCCTGTGTAGTCAAAGCAATGAGGCCCACGTCTCCCTTCATCACCATGAACACACACACTGTAGTTTATTTTGACTTAGTCACGCACACAGTGTCCTGCTGCAGAATAAATCACAAAATCAGAGAATCCGGATAAATCTGACTCTGAAAACCGTATTTGAGCTACATTTGATTAAAAACTACAGTGGCCGCGTGTCCTTGGAAATTATTTCAATGAAACTATATATATCTTAATGGGATTTGCAGACAATAACAAAATATATGAAAAGTTACCAGCTCTTTGAGTTGAGTTCATGTTGTTCGGATTTAGTGGAGAGGAGGTGTCGTCAGTCATAAGCCTGTCTGGATGGCTATAGATTCCTTTGCTGCTGTTTTGGTGTCTTTGGTCTGACAGTGAGTTACTTCAACGTAGTTATTGGTGTTTTACCAAAACACTCCCCACCAGACAACCTCCTTGTCAGAGTGAGTGTAATTACCTGGCTAAATGTATAGAGACTAACTGACAAAGAGTTAATCCACACGTACATAAAGAATAAGAAACCAAAAGCTCTTCCTGCTTTTTGTCAAGTAGCGCTAATCGACAGAGACTGAGGAGGTAAACATGGCCTCTTGAGCGTTATTTATTTATTCACTTTGTTAGCAAGAGGCTGTTCATTCCGTCTGTT